TTTTTTTTTTTAAGAGACGGGTCCTCACTGGCTCAGGCATGAACCACTGCAACCGGTCTAAAAATATTATATTTTAGAAAACTGAATTATAAATTGCGTTTAGCACTGTATGTAAAAATTTAAAATGCAGCTGGAACATTTCTAGATTTATAAGATAAACGAGGCAACTCTGATACGAGTGTAGACAGATAGCTCAGGATAGACAGTAAGTTTTACCAATATGTCAAGTGTTCCAAAGAAGGATAAAAAATAACAAATGGGTAGAGATGTGGGATTTGGTGAGTATAAACTAAGTAACAGTGTGTCTGGGGCCTGGTACATAAAAATTACAGTTATCGTCTACTTAGTTCTTAGTTTCTCCATTATATTATACATAACTGATCATTGTCCTCAAAACAAACCTAGGGGAGGCATCACTGTCCATAGTTTACAAATGAGGGCCAGGATTTTATTTTGTTTTTTATTTCAGATTAATATGAGGATACAAATGATTAGGTTTCAATGTTTGTGTTTGTTAGGTAAGGTACCCATTGTAGCTGTGCCCCTCACCCAGGTGTGCCACATATGCTGACATTGTGCCAGTCAGGGGAGAGCACACCAACCCCTCTCCCTTCTCCCCTCCCCACCCTCCTCCCCCACCGCCAGAATTTTAACACACAGCTATCTGACTCCAAGTTCATATTCTTTTCGCTAAAAAATAAATCACACTGAATTTACATTTAGGAGGGGAGAGGTATGCTCTTTCTTCTTATTTTATCTAATAGTAGCTCCTCTTTACCATGTTCCATGGCCAAGGCTGATATCCAGTTGGCATGCTCTGGTGTGGCATCAGGGGCTGTGAAGGCTGTTCTGTGTAGTTCAGTATCTGTTCTGCTTGACTGGTGCCCATGTTGTAATAATCACTAAATATTTTGAGTACTATACCTCGCCCTAAGTAATAACATGCCTAGATTCCCAACTTTTATAGTAGAAGCCTAACCTTTGCTATATTTATATATATTAAAGCATGAGACACATCTTTAAATTAGAGACACCAAATAACTATCCTTTAGGGTTTTTTCTAGAGAATCCAAGCTTTCTTGGCAAGTCAGGCTTGTAGCATTTGATGTTTGGGAAGACAGTTTAACAGGATACTACCCCCACCTTCCTCAGTTCTTGTTATCAAATTAGATCACCAAGGAATATATCTGGACATTAGCTTATGCGTTTAGATGAAAAAATGCCTACACTGTTTTTCACAGTTATAATCTTGGATTTTATCAAGATTCAATGTTAAGAAATGACTAAATGGGGGAAAGGAAGCAATGGTATAAATGTTTCAAGGACAAATCTAAATGTCATCATAACATCAGAAGTATGATTTATTTCTGAGAGCTTCATACTCTAGCTTTATTTGTTAATTATGCTATAACCATTCTGCCCAAACAACATACACAAAATGCTATACAAGCTCCCTCAGTTGGTTAAGATACAGAACTACCAAAAAACATGTTCCATTAAGTTGATCGTGTCGTCTTCTAAAATTTCAATAACTCCAGCCTGAGATCGAAGGATAGTTATGATGTCATTAGATAATCTTTCAAAGCCATTCTGTAAACATATATCTGCCATTTTTTGCCACTTTTCTAGGGAGCAAAATGGATCATCTAACACAAGATGTTTTACTGCATCTGAGGAGGAAAAATACAAGATTATAGTGTGGTATTTTTTCCTACTTGATAATCCACACTCAGTGATTCTTCAAAAATAGAAAAGGACATAATTTCAAGTCATTTAATATTTAACTCTACCTGATTCCTATACATTTATTTTATTTATTTTTAGACAGAGTCTCAACCTGTCACCCTGGGTAGAGTACTGTGGTGTCATAGCTCACAGCAACCTCCAAGTCTTGGGCTCAAGCGATCCTCTTGCCTCAGTTTTTCTATCTTTAGTAGAGATGAGGTCTCACTTTTGCTTAGGCTGGCCTCGAACTTATGAGCTCAAGTGATCGGCCCACCTTGGCCTCCCAAAGTGCTAGGATTACAAGTGTGAGCCATTGCACCCGGCCTATAATTCCCATGTTTAAAGGTATAAAATGTGAAGTACTCAGTCTAGCTCCTGGTAGGTACTCAAGTGTTTAATTCCTTCACTTCTTCCTTTGCTATTAACCTCTTTATGTCTCAGTTCAACCCTCCCCCAGTTCTCATATTCTGCACTTATTCCACGCTCCTCCACTCATCTCCTTCTTGGTAAGATAGCAGATATTGAAGGCTACAGGGCAGGGAGCTCAGAAAGTGAAGAATGTGGGCTCATCCTTATTCACAGAATCTATAAGGCATCATTAAAATCTCCCAAATAACTGAGGACCTATACCATGTTTCCCCAAAAATAAGACCCTGTCTTATGTTTATTGTTTCTTAATAAGACACACTAGGGCTTATTTTCAAGGAATGTCTTATTTTTATTAAGTATAATACAACAATCTACATTTATTCAAATACAGTTAAGTCATCTTCTTCTGGAACCTGACAGGGGGAGTCGACCTTGTTGGTGGGGCTGGTGCTAGTGATGCATGAACTCCTTTCCCCTAGCCATTTGCAGGTGCACAATAGGGTGCCTGCGACGGCGGTTCGGTTACCACACGCGCACCCGCACAAGTGCAAACGCAAAGGGCTCGGAGAAAGGAGCTGTAGCAGATAAAAGGTATTCCAGTCTTCCTTTCTGCTCTGTCCCAAAATGCAGGGTGTGGCCTATCACTAGGTCTTATTATCAGGGTAGGGCTTATATTTAACAAATGCATAGAAATCCTGCTAGGCTTATTTTGGGGGGTAGGTCTTATTTTCAGGGAAACATGGTAGGTCCAGTTTTCATGATCCCTCAAACACTTTTATAAATGCCTCAATAGTGTGAACTCAGGGTTTAAGAAACTCTTTGACAAACTCTTTATCCTATTTCTAGATGGAGACTTCTTAAAGATGGGTCTTCTAATTTTTCTAAAAGAATAAAATCCGGCCTGGTGTGGTGGCTCACACTAGTAATCCTAGCACTCTGGGAGGCTGAGGTAGGTGGATTGCCTGAGCTCACGAGTTTGAGAACAGCCTGCTCAAGAGCAAGACCCTGTCTCTAAAAAAAAAAAAATAGTGGGGATTTTGGCAGGTGCTTATAGTCTCAGTTACTTGGGAGGCTGAGGCAAGAGGACCGCTTGAGCCCAGGAGTTTGAGGATTCTGTGAGCTATGAAGCCACAGCACCCTACCTAGGGTGACAAAGTGAGAGTCTGTCTCAAAAAAAAAAAAATCATTTTGTTTATTGAATAAATCTAACAATATTATTTATTTTTATCTTTATTTTTTTTTAGAGACAGAATCTCACTTTATCACCCTTGGTAGAGTGCTGCGGGTTACAGCTCACAGCAACCTCCAACTCCTGGGCTTAGGCAATTCTCTTGCCTCAGCCTCCTGAGTAGCTGGGACTACAGGCACCTACCACAACACCTGGCTATTATTTTGTTGCAGTTTGGCTGGGGCTGGGTTTGAACCTGCCACCCTCAGTATATGGGGCTGGTGCTCTACCCACTGAGCCACAGGTGCCACCCACAAAAGTGAAATTTAATTAGTTATTCTCAATCACATTGCAGAGTTAGGTTCAGAGTGAACATCATAAGAAAATATGCATACATTCGATTTAGGAATTAAAATATATAAATTTTATATCTAAATAACATTTAAAATACATATAAAAAGATTACTAAATGTAAATATATGTCAACATATATAAAGTTTTTAAAATAGTGTTAGCTATTATAATTAGTATGACATTCCCTTCAGGCTTCATAAAGATTCTCTCTTCATTCTTCTTCATTCATCCTAGAAATATAGTTTTGTCAACAGGCTATTACCGACCTGGTAATATTTACATTTATAAGCTCCTAAAATTACCTCTTGCTTAAGAAAGAACTCTAAGAGAAATTTGATGTAACTCATACATAATCATCTTTAATCTTTCTCTAAACAACTCACTATATTTCTTCCACAACACTATTTTACTATACTTACCTTTCCCACCTTTATTTACTTCTTGAAGTAGCTTGATGCCAACTTTTTTCATATCTACAGAGAATAGATGTAGTATGGCCAGACCAAAAGATAAAAGTGGTGGTTTTCCATTCCACTCTTTAGTGAGACATTGGATTAATTCAGGTTGGGGACACAATGTTATTACCTGTATTAGATCATCTGAAAGCAAAAATGAAAATCTGTATCTCAACATCCTAATAAGATAAATCAATTAGAAACTGGGACTACTCTACTTTTTCCAATGCTGAAGCCTTCAGTAACCCACTCCAACCCAAACTCCTTGGTACTGTCTCCAGTCCAAAAAAAAAAAAAAAATCACTCAGCATAGCAAAAGACAAAGGAAAACAACCCATGACAAAGAGTATAAAAATACTATCAAATAGGCTTGGCGCCTGTGGCTCAAGCGGCTAAGGCGCCAGCCACATACACCTAAGGTGGCGGGTTTGAATCCAGCCCGGGCCCGCCAAACAACAAT